CTCCCCCCCGGGCCCCCCCCCGGAGGCGCAGTCGGTTATGGCTTCAAGAACCCAGAAGGTTTTTTGCGACTCACAGCACTCATGAGTGTGGTCGCGCAAATGGACCGCACGGTGCGTGCAGAAGTCGCCGCTGATGAACGTGAAGTCCTGAGCGACCCGGGCGCGGACGATGACCTCGACGGCGACTGGATGAGCGACGAGAACCCGCAGGTCCTGGGCGGCGAGGAGTTTACAGACTTGAAGAAGTTCGACGTATTTTTGGCGCAAGCGCGCAGCCAGCTGGATGTGTACTGGCAGTACGAGTTGCCGATACAGCACCTAGTGCTCGCACATGCGTGCGAACTCGCTGCCGACCGGCAAGACGTGTCCAAGCTGTCGGCGGACGCTCTCGCTGTTGTGCACGCGAACTTGATTTTCGCACACCTGCTACAGCATGGCATCGACCCGACAACTGCGGCCGCGGAGCTGCGGGTGTCTTACGTGACCACGAGTCTCGACAGCGTGCGCCTTTACCTCATTCGCGGACTTTGGACTGAATTATTGCGTTGCGATGCGTCAGACGATGACGACTTCAACTTTGCCGTCGGCGCCTTCCAGAAAGATATACGAGCCGCCGACGGCGGCGGAGCCGCCGCGGCGGCGCAGCTGCCGGCGCACTTGGTGATTCCGGCGGAACCGTTAAGGGTGATGTGCACTTTGGCAGGCGACTTCGTGTCATGGTTGATGGCTACGGGTGCTCCGGCGGCGGCGGAGGCAGCGGGTGGGAGCACGGAGGTCGTGACGGTGCGGTTGTTGAACAGTTCCCTGCACAACATGTTTGACGCTCTGGAGATGCCACGCGGAAAGTTCCGGGAATTGTCGGGTACGCGTGCAGGAACGGGCGCAGGAACGGGCGCAGGGACGGGCGCGGGGACGGGCGCGGGAGTTTTGGGTACGACACGGCGTTGGACTCACGCGACGGACCCCGACTTCGGTGTGTTGGAGTATTCGTTGCTAGATGAGGTGGCGCACAAGCCTTCATTTTTCCACCAGTTGGAGAACATCCGTCGTGAGCCAGAAGGCGTGAGTTTGTTGTTGCCTAGTCGCGTGGAGCGGATGGTTGCGGAGCTGAGTCTTCGGCGTGCCGCTACGGACACCTTCCGAACGCAGTTGTGTGAGACGTTGTGCGACTACCGGCGTTTTTACGACCAAGAGTCCTTGCCGTTGGCGCTGGAGTTGTGGCAGAAGGTTGCAGAACTGTTGGTGCTTACACCTACACGGGCGACCCCACAGGCGCTGCAGGTGGCACAGCTGCAGTCGCTGGTGGCGCTGCCGCTGCTCCTGAACGGTCCCGTGGCGCAGTGCGACCTGCTGCGCCACTTTATCGCCAAGTCCGTCGGCGCACTCTTCGAGCGCTGTTTCCAGGAAGCACTCCAAACCATCCGTAACCCCACGGAACAAGAGACCTGGTTCCTCCCGCGACTGGCCGAGCTAGATGAACTACTGGCCGTGGACGACGAAGACCGCGACCAGGATGGACGAGACCCGGAGCAGGAGGGGGACGCGGCGGAGGTAGAGAAAGCGTGGGCGGCGGTGGTTCACAAGTTCGGGGTAGCTAGTCAGAAGTTCATTGCGGAATTGCGCACTGAAATTACTTACTTCTCGGAAGTCTGGGCGAGTTTATTGCCGGGTAACCAACACGCGATGGTGGTGGTATTCGTGGCGGAAGGTCGACTACGGGACATGTTGGCAGAGTTGCGGCAGTCGCCGTTCTGGCCAGAGGACACATTGCCGCCTTCTAGTGCGGGCATAACGGCGTCGTTGCATAAATTTGAGGTGTTGTTGAACGAAGTGCGCTTGTGCGCGCGTTTCGAGAACCTGTTAACAGAGAACGAGCCGTTGGGAGCGCCGTTTAGTGCCTCAATTGCGTCTGCACTTACACGGCGGCTGCGTTCGGTAGAGCCGCTCTTGGCCCGGTGTCTGGTTGACGACTGGACGCCAGTCGACCCGCCTGGTAGTTTATGTAGTGCTGGTGCGGTGGACTTCTTCCAGTTCGTGCACCACGTACTAGACGCCGTCTGGGAGTACGAAGCACCTCCCGAGTGGGTGATGCCGATCCTGCTGCAGTTCCTGGTGCGCATCGCGCACCGATTCGCCGAGCACACACGTGCGACAGTTGCCGAGCCACGTCTCGGCTACATCGCACACTACGCAGATCAGGTCGTCGCCAACCTTACTAACCCACTACCACGTGTAGACGTCTCACTTCTGGGCCAACTTATGGGCAAGCGAAAGCATAAGGGCATCAAAGGTTTCTTCGGTCTCAAAGGTCAGACGAAAACCAAGCCAAGAGTTACGCCTCCTGCTGGCGACAGCCCCACGGCGGCCGAACTCCCGGAAGATCTGTTGCTGGGGCCCGACGGCCAACTGCCCCCTGAAATTGCCGAGGAACTCAAGGACCTGGCAGCGCGGATTGGGCCCCAACTGGCGCTCCAGCTCTACGGCATCGCGGGCGCCCTGGAGGCGCCCGCCGGACCGACAGGGGCAGGACCGACAGGGGCAGGACCGACAGGTGCGGGTCCAACAGGGGCAGGGTCGGCGGGGGCCAAGGGTTGGTTAACACGGCTACACAATCTGTGGTATTTCCAAGGTGAGATCGGGTCGTTGGCCACACGTGTGCTCCAAGTGGCTTCGACGCAGGCCAAGGGACGCGCCGCGGCTGAGGCGTCGGAAGTGTTGCAGGCAATGGAGCGTGCTGGCGGTCGCAAGGTGGTATTACAGCAATTTGATCAGAACGAGGAAGAGAACTATCAGCTGTGGCAGAGTCAGTTGATGGAGACAGTGACGCAGTGCCGACAGGCTATGTTTGTGGGAGCGGCGGAGGTCTGTCGCTTCTGCGCGTTGCGAGTGGTCTATTACGATTTGTCCTGCGACCTGTTCGAAGAGCTCTACCAGCCGAGCATCCAGAAGGGACACACTCTTGCGGACTTGGTGGCTGCACTTGACGGCACAGTGATGAAGTTTGTAAATGCCACACCCGCAACGTTCCAGGAAATGCTTCTACACGAGATACTCGTGAATCTCAACAAAGCTTGGCTGCTGCTGGTCACGGAACTCGGGTACAGCGGCCACCAGTTCGAGGCTGAAGACCTGGAGGTTCTAGCCGCAGACCTGGCGAGTCTGAAAGCCTTCGCGAAAAAGTACCAAGCAGACAGCCGGCTTGAAACCGACGAGGGGGCTCCCGTCGACGTCGGCGAATTCATCACCTTCCTCAGCAACTCTCCCAACGTACTTGCACAACTAGGAGGCAACTACGACAAAAAGAAACCCGCCCCTGCCGCCGCCGCGCCCGCTGCTGCTGCCGATGGCGACCAAGACGACGAAGACGTTAAGAATATGTTCGCAGGACTTGGCGCCGCCACCTCGCCTGCCTTCAAGGCCGAGGAAATCGTTGGCAAGTCCAAAAAGAAAAAAGGCGTCTTTGGGGGCGCCATGAAGCTATTGAAGATCAAATAAACCTTTTTCCGGACCCACACAACCAGCCGTGCGCACACGCCTGTGGGACAGACTGGCGAAAGCACACGCAAAGCTGCATGCGGCACAGGGATGGGACACACGAGTTGCATGCTATAAGGTTCTCTGTGGAATATGGCAAGACTACCTACGATGAGGACTGATCACCAGGATTTGCTGCACGCATGACAAAGACTGAGAAGGGCGCTTTGTATGGCTAGGCATGCCGACGGATGTGGCAGCCTTGGTGAGGAGGAGCGACCGAGGATGCGGGCGCGAACGAGGATCCCACGCCTGATCGGCAGGTCATGTTGGTACTGAGAGTGCGGAAAGAAGGATAAAACGATCGAGGTTAGACACTAAAAAGTATCAACGGGTAACGAGATGGGCGTCGGCTTTTTACTTTGGGACACTTTAAGCTGGCGTCAGTGGCATTTGGTTTGACTGTAGAGGACGAGCTCAAGCCAACTGAACGGCCCCGCCCGCAAGGGATCGGCTTGACCCGTGGTGATAAGGAGTGCGTGGATCCCGAAGGGGAGGGATGAGGCATAACGCCGCCGGTCTGCTTTGGGTTTTTGGGAGTAATAGGTCACCAGCGATACAGCCGACCTGCATGAGTCACAAAAAGAAGTGGTGACGATGAGGGGCTGCAAGTTCACGAGTCGTGCTGTGTCGTACTAGTCGGCTGCTGACGTGGTGCTGCTTCCGTCGTGGGGAGAGTCCTCGGTGTAGGTTGTGGTAACTTGCATTGCTGCGGTTTCTGACTCTCTGACTATTTGACAAAAAGCTTCG